CAGCCTGGAAATGGTGGCTGTGGGCGCCAGGTAATGATGTCATGTAGCAATGCCCAGCTTCCTCTCCCTAGTGACGACTAGCCTCCTTGCAGTTTCTCCAGCCAAGGAACACTACTTGCTTTATAGCCAGGTGCAAACATTTCACACTTTAACCAAATGTCTCTAAACCATTTTCCCATGCCTCATCTCATTTGATCCTCACAGAGGTCCTGGAGTAGGTAGATAGGCAACTCGGTGAAATCCTATTTTCTTTTCATTAGCTGGAAAACGGAGATTTAGAAACTTGACCCGACTGAAAAGAAGAAATGGTGGGACTTGAAAATGACTTCAGGTTTTCTCACTGTGCAGAATATAGTCAAACACTGCTGCAGTTAAATATTTTACCCTTTGTTCTCCCTGCGTGATCTGTAACTACAGAAGAATAATCTGCTTTGTGTTGATATTTACTGCTGTGTTGCTGACAATTACCTGAAAGAGAAGTTGGGGTGCTTCACTGGGCTGGAAAAAGTTTAGCTATATCAGAAAAAAGGTCTAATTAAGCAAGTTTATTATATATATATATATATATATATATATGGCTAAGTTGACTGGCATATGTGCTATACATATAAAGCTCTCACTGGTGCCAATCGCACACGTGTGTTTTGATCTGTCATTGTCGATCGCGAATTTGGTTGACACCTCTATTATAGAGAAAGGGCAAAAAGCGATATTAAAATATTTCTTCTAATTAATTTCCTTTCAATGTGCATAAATTCGTGCACTGGGCCTCTAGTTCAGCCATAAAAATGAAGGAAGTCCTGCCATTTGTGATAGTTCTTGAGGGCATTATGCTAAGTGAAGTAAGTCAGACAGAGAAAGACAAATAGTGTATGGTCTCACTTATATGTGGAATCTTAAAAAAAAAAAAAAAAATAGAAATCAGATCTGTGGTTACCAGAGGTGAAGAGTTAGGAGAAGAATTGCATGAAGTTGGTCAAAAGGTACAATCATGAGTTCTCTTTTAAACCTCCCAACCATCCATTTTACAGATGAGGGAACTGATACCAGAGAGGTCAAATCACTTCCCAAGATCACACAGCCAGAAAATGACAGAACTAGAATATACAGCCAGGTGAGCTGGCACCCTTAACCACTAAGTAACACTGCCAAAACAGTCAGTAACAAGATTATATGTATATAGTTATAGTTATTGTTATATTTAGAGGTAGGTAGGATTCGGAAGGTTACATATATCTACTAGAGGCCCAGTGCATGAATTCGTGCACAGGAGAGGGGGGACGGGGCCACAGGAGGTTGGCTGACCGGGGGAGGGACCGCAAAGGGAGATTGGCCAGCCAGGTGGGAGGGACCACAGGAGGTTGGCTGGCAGCAGGGAGGAATAGGGGGAGGGACTGCGGGAGGTTGGCCGCTGGCCCTGAGAAGGGAACCGACCCTCAGCCCCCCTGGGAAAGGGGCTGTGTCCGCTGCCACCCACCCCCGGTTCCCTGTCCCAGCCCAGGCCCCAAGGCCCCGGCGGGACTGGGAGAGGAGCCAACAGTTGCCGGGCCGGGCGCAGAAGGAACGGATGCTGGATGCCAATGCCACCCTTGGCATCCCACCACTGCGAATTTCCCCACCTCCCCCCTCCTCCTTCCCTCACCACTGCACCACCACTGTGGGGAGGTGGGGGGGGGGGGGGGCAGAGGCCCCTGAGGAAGGGAGAGGACGGGAGCGAGACAAACCCTTGTGTCAAGGGCTGACTTACAATAGATCGCAGCGAGGGAGGTGCTCTGCTATGTATGAAACCTTGACCCAGAAGCAGGTCTCTACAAATGGCTTAGCACCAGGGGCAGATGGGGGCCAGCTGGCTGGGGGAAGGGGCCGTGGGAGAACACTGACCATCAGGGGGCAGCTCCTGCGTTGAGCATCTGCTCTCTGGTGGTCAGTGCGCGTCACAGTGACTGGCTGACCGGTAGTTCCCAGTCATTCCATCATAACGGTGCTTAGGCCTTTATATATATATATATATATATATATATATATATATATATATATATATATATATGCTCTTATGTGCATAGACTTTGTGAAAAGATACATAAAGACTGATTACAGAGACCCATCTGGGGGCATGTGGGGGGACTGGTGGGATTGAGATTCTATTACTGCATACTTTTGCAACATCCTAATTCTTACACATATTACCTAGTCAAAAATACATTATGCAAGTATTCATTGAGTCACTAAATTCTAAGGCTGGGATGGACCCTATCATTTTATTGGAGGGGGTGTAAACTGAGTCACAGACTTGCCTGAGGCCACCCAAGTAGGAAGGAGAAGCCCTAAGGCACTTCCAAGGCTCCAGACTCCTAGCCCTGGTGTGTTCTGTTGCCGTCTCTATTCTCTATTTCCACCATAGCTGACTCAGCTGTCACAACTGGAGACTTTAAAAAACGTCCAATTATACAGAATTGGGGAGAAAATTATGATTTGGAATTCAAGTGTTGACATTTGAAAAATACCAACTCCCTTTCACTGCAAGTACTTTAGCATGTTACTAAGGCTCTCTCTGCCTGTCTCTGGAAAGGTTATTTTCAGAACATTCCACTTAAACCTGGAGTTGCAGGGTTCTCCACTGTTTCTGGGAGCTGACACCACAATTTACATTAAACAAATGTTTTGAAAATTAGCTGTTCACGGTTCCAATTTCAGCTTCCCCCAGGGTTTAATGTTAGCCAAATATTCGTACAGTAAGCAGACAATGTGTTTTATTGTATGGAAGAAAAACAGACCACCATAACAGATTTCCTGCTTTTGTAATCAAGGGAAAAGTGGAGTGTTCGAGTGATTATTGGCATATGGTTATTAGAAACACTGAGTTCCAAATATAGCTACTAGGAGCTAAAGACACACACACACACACACACACACACACACACTGCTATATTTCCAAAAAGATAGAAAAAACCTTAGTGTTTGGTCAATTGGAAATTCAGAAAGTCATTGGCAAAACTACCAGGAGGAATCAGGGTGACAGATAGCAAGGTTCAGCCCACTGTTCCCAGACACACTGGAGTCAGAGAGGCCCAAACATCAATGAGCAGCAGGCCTGCAGGAACAAGGGCCGCGGCTCTGGGCACAGCCTGAGGACAGCTAGGCCAAAGATTGCAGTTCTGCCTTGCTGGTCCCTGACTCCCTGGGGTCCATTATCAAGATATGATGGATTTGGCACCTTCGTCTTCTTTTTTAACATTTAAAAAGGGTTGCACAGCCCTAAACAGCGTGGCTCAGTTGGTTGGAACATCGTCCCATAAATCAAAAGGTTGCGGATTTCATTCCCAGTTAAGGCACATTCCTAGGTTGTGGGTTCGGTCCCCGGTGGGGGCACATACAGAAGGCAACCAATCAATGTTCTCTCTCACATCCATGTTTCTCTCTCTCTCTCTCTCTCTCTCTTCCGTCTCTCTAAAATCAATAAGCATATCCTCGGGGGAGGATTTAAAAAATAATTAGTTAGTTAATAATTAATTAAAAAGGGTTGCACAGGTGCTTTTCTCCTCTCTTTCCCCATCTTGCTCTACACGCTGCCCCCCAAGCCCCTGTCCAGCTGCAAATGTGAAAGGGGGGAAAGAAACTGTTCAATCTGCTAAATTTACAATTAGCAGGAATGAGAATGAAGCACTGTGTGAATTCCCCTGATTCCAAGCCTCCTCCAGGACTTGTGAGCTAGGTGGAATGCAAGCGTCTGGAAATAAACTTACAGGATGCTCTTCAATACCAGATTTCTCTCTCAAAGAGCTGGGAGCGATTCAGAGCCAGGTGGGGTGAGATGGGGGGGATGGGGTGGGTGGTCTGTTGGAAAGAGGAATTTAGATTCTGATGTCTTCAGGAAAGCATTTGTTTACACCCAGAAGGAGGTACTAAAAACATAGCCTCTTCCACCTCAACTAAATAAAGAGTGTGGATGGGAGGTTAGAGGTCAGAAAGGTGTCCCCATGTGGTGAAAGCCAGTCTGTCTGTGGCACAGACAGGCCAGGGACCTGATCTTTGGACAGGTCAGAGGAGGGGATATGCAGCATGTGACTCTGGGTCAGGGCCCCTGGAGCCCATCTGGGAGGTGACCTCACCATCTCACGCTGGTGAGAGGCGTGGGCTCCGGTAGGAAAAATGTCCTTTCACTGCATCAGTAGAACTCAAGAGTTATTTCCAAGAGTTCTTATTGAGGGTCTTACAAAACAGGTAGGTCACCTTCTGCCAAAAGTAATTTCCTCCAGTATGGCTGGAGAAGGATGACTCCTGAGGGGGCACCGCAGGGTAGCACAGCCTTAAAATTCCATCTATAAAGACAGAGCTTTAACTGCACTGCACCTCTGTTTGTTGGGCCTCAAAGCAACTGTGACAACTGCTGAGACGCAGGGCTCAGTGACGAAGGAACACACTAATGAGAGGAATTCGTTCACCACACAATGATCAGCACCCAGGACCTAATCTCAGTCCAAGTTGGGTCTAGCAGGAGGGCCTGAATAATGTGTCTGTTTTACTCCTTAACAAGGCAATCATTCTAAAAAGCAAACTGTTTGGACTGTCCCTGCTGGAACATGCTCAGAGTAGGACAAGCAGTCATGGCAATGCAACATCAGTTCTGAGAGTATCAGGAGCAAGTGAGCAGCTGGCACCTCTGGGCAGGACTCAATGGTAGCTGTCCAAGCACCAGGAAGATTCTGTACACACAGGTCACTTCCCACAGGCATGGGCATCTCCCTGAAAGGCCAGGCATGAGGTCCTTCCATCCTGATCTTCCTGGCACCCACCTCACATACTCCTTGCCTGCAGGAATCCAGTCCCCCAACCGTGTCCGGACTCTGGCCCCTTGAGTAGGACTAGCCCCTCTGTCACCAGATCCCACGTCCTCTGTAGTGCTGCCCCATCGGTGGGATGGGCGCTCAGCGGGAAGGGGCTCTCCTGACAACCACCTATCTGCCCCGCCCTACCCCACACGCCCCTGCCAAATCACATACCTTGGATTTCCGGGCCCCCTTCTTGCCTCCAGCTTTCTTTGACACTGGCTTCTTCTGGGATGGAGACTTGGCCTTTTTGGCTGGGGGTGGCGTGATGATGGCTTCCAACTTCCCTTTGGATCCTCGTTTTTTTGCTAGCAACTCTGGGTGGATGTTTGGTAACACCCCACCACTGGCTATGGTGACTCCTTTTAGTAGCTTGCAGGAAAACCAAAGTAGCAGATGGTGAGCTAGACCAGCCTGCCCCTGACCTTCAAGAAGTCAGCCCTGCCCATCCATGCTTTCGATTTTGGTTGGTAGAGTTCCTCCCTCCATGGCATCTACAAGGATGCTGATGGGACTCAGCTCACTACACAGGGAACAAGTCTTCAGAGTTCCTCACTAGGCGGGAGGGGTGGTTCATTTGAGAGCCAAATACCTTGTTTCATCCCTGCCCCCCACCCCCAATAAGGCCTTCAGGAGAAACTTCCAAGGGGGGCAGGGAAGCTGCTAACAGTCAAAAATGCAGTCCACACCTTTGAAAGCCAGCAACTTGCCAACCTCCCTCTGCACAGACAGCTCTGTGTCTCAGGTGTCTGGGGTAGGTTGGCTAGGAGAGCCCCGTACCTGATTTAGCTCCTCATCATTGGCCACGGCTAGCAGGATGTGCCGAGGTGTGACCCGTCCCTTCTTGTTGTCCCTGGCCGCATTGCCAGCCAGCTCCAAAATCTCCGCTGTAGGGAACAGAGGGGAAGAGCACATGATTGCATTAGAGCATTGGAGGCTCACATGCATCCTCCTGACTCCCACTCATGGAGCTGGGAATGGACACAGGTATCAGTTCACGAAGCAGCTTCCTGAGGTGGGAAGATGCAGGCAGTATGCCTGGCACACGTTGAGCTAAGTCACAGAAGTGCTGAATCAACCCCTGGTCCAACCCTGTTTTGGAGGTGAAGACAGAGGCTTACAGAGGAGAAGTGACTGGTCAGAGGTCCCTCAGTAAGAAGTGGTAGAGCTGAGATCTGAACTTACTTTGCCAGACAGGGCTGCCTGTAGTCGGCATTCAGATGTCACCAAGACCAACCCTGATAAGCCAATGGTGTGGTCTCTAAGAGTGAACCCTGCCTGCATGGAACTGAGCAATGGGTCATGCATGGGTTTCGGGGCCTCAGGGGGCGGTGGCATTTTACAGGTGCTTAGTAAGTCTCTGTCGATGAAGTTGATGGTGACCACCTGCACACTCAGATTCAAAACTGGAAGGAGATGACTAGACTCTTTACAAAGTCAATGTCATAAAAATACTGTCAAACCTTGGTTCTCAAATGTCTCCCATCTTGAATGATTCAGTTCTTGACCAAGGTAAGGTGTTCACAGAAAAAAATGTCTCTGTTGTCAAAACAAACTTCAGTTTTCTACCTGATCACCCTTTCACGCTGATACCTCAGCATGACAAAAAGTGTTTCTCAGGCAACAAAGGAGAGAATGTTTTTATTGCTGGTGAAATCAATGATTAGCACAACTTTAAAACAGAAAGAGGCCATCAAGAGTGCTAACGCCCAGCCCTAGCTGGTTTGGCTCAGTGTATAGAGCATCCGCCTGTGGACTGAAGGGTCCCAGGTTTGATTCTGGTCAAGGGATCATGCCTGGGTTGTGGGCTCAATTCCCAGTAAGGGGCGTGCAGGAGGCAACCAGTCAATAATTTTCTCTCATCATTGATATTTCTCTCTCTCTCTCCCTCTCCTTTCCTCTCTGAAATCAATAAAAATATATTTTTAAAAAAAGAGTGCTGATGCCCAGCACAGATGGACCTATCTCTTGCTAAGTGGAGAAGGGTGCTTGGGAAGCCTAAATGACCTTAGGCCTCTCGGGTGCCTGGCCAGCCCAGTTTGCCCTTCGTTCTCCCGTGTTCATGGAGCAGGTGGCACGTCTGTAGTGCTATTGCCCTGACTACTGCCTGGGAGGGAGCCAACGCAGGAGTCTGACCTGAGCACAGACCCTGAGAATAAGGGCACAGGAAGGAGAGCCGGTCACAGCTGTTGCTGGGCTGGAGCCCTTGCAGCAGGAGGGCTGGAGAGGGGCTGCTGCAGCATGGAGCTGTAGCCCACTTGGCTGGCTTCCTGGCCTCCACCATTCCTTCCCCTCCCCTGCCTGCCCCACTTTCTGAGGCCACAGGTAAGGCCATCAGTGTCTGCAGAGCCAGAATATACAGGAGGCAGGTGGATTACAACCTTTTCCCCAGAATGTGCTAAGAAGTCTTTACCTGGCCTCAGAGAGAGAAAGAAGCACTCACAGTGGTGCCCTAAGCCCATCCCTTTGGCAAGAAGATCGTTTGAAATTGCGGTTTCTCAGAAAAGTGGAGGGGGCCTGGTTCCTCTTCCTGCCTGGAGTGTTAGTGGAAGGCTCTCCCCAAGAGAAGGCACAGAGGCCGTTGGGGGGGCGGGGAGAGGAGGGATGTGGTCTTTTTATTTTTAGCAGTGCTGCTCTATTGGTGCAGGGAAGATGGAGGTGATGAATGCAAAGCCCTGAGGGGGGAAGGGCCTGATTTGGGTAGGGGACAGGCAGTATATAACACAGAGAAATAAAGCAATGGAGTGACTTATAAGTAGCACCCATGGCTGAGAAATCTGAAGATCAATTCTCCGGAATTCCCTTGGACTTCCATGAGCTTTTCCCCCCATGAACTCTCACACTGTGGATGAAACTTCTAATGGCCTGAGCTTCTATACTTGGGAAGTTGCAAGGACTGGGCTCATTTACTGCTAAGCAAGCGGTGGATTCTGTGATGCCAGACTAGATCCACCTGAGAGTGACAATGAGGTGGCGTGGAGGGCCTGGGGGAGATGTGTGCAGTGGAATGAAGTATGATTTGGCTCCTTGGAAAGAGCTGGGCAGGAGTGTCATTCTGTTGCCTTCTTCTCCAAAGAACCAGAAAATCCAAGACTCTATCCTTTTTTGCAAAACTCTAGCTCACCTTTGAACTCAGCCCTGTGGAGTGGGAGGGAAGCTATATCAAGTGGGGGGGCAAAAAAGAGGGGCAGAGATCCATACTCCAGCTAGAATTGAGCAAAAGCCTTGTCTTCCATTTACTCCTGCCTGTTTGCCAGAGGAACAGTTACCATAGTAACCCCTTCATCAAGGGACACCAAAGACAGAGCACCTGGGAGACACACCTTTTATGAGAAGTGGGTGCCCTGCCCCACCCTACACTGCAGCACGAAGAGGGCTGGGCATTTTACAACAGCCAAGGAAGATAGGGGAGAAATCTGACTGGTAACAAAAGCAGGAATCCAGGGCACAAACTCCCCTGGCCAAGTATTCATTAAAACCCACCCTTTTGTCCTCAGTCTGACTGTAAAAGCCCAGTTGCAAAAGGCTTTCCTGGCTAAGAGAGGGCTGCCTGCTGCAGGGGAGGGGAGGTGCAAAACGACAGCAACTGGACAAGATGGAACAGGTCCCATCTGCCCTCCAGGGCATGTTCGGGAAGGAGAGGGTGCCCACACAGCTGAGGAATTGGGGCAGGGTGTGAACCACCAGGAGATTTCCTGATTAGGTTTCCTTCCTAGTAAGTGATCTGGGCTTTGCAAATGATAGAAAGGCTAAATCATGAAAGCCCAGCTCAGCTAGACATGGATTCCTGCCACTGCACCCCAAGCCCACCGGGATGCCCCCCCACACACATACACTGGCTGCCTCCTGGGCTAGGGCAGAGCCAGCATCACCTGAATGGACCCCACACCTCTCCTCAGGGGAAGGTGTCCTGCCCTTGATGCAGCTTCTGGTTTGGAAGGTTCTGGGCAATTCTAAAAAAAATGTGTAACTTCTGCTGGTTCAAAAGAAAAGGAATTCTGAGAAAAAAAAACAGGAAAACACCAGATCTACAGATGCAAATCCTTTTCTCCAGTTTCCAGAGCTCGAAGCTTGCATCCTCTCTTGGAGGGAGTTTTCAGGAGCCACAGCCCTGGGGGCTGTAACCACAACAAATGGAATCCATAAGAAACCACAGGAGGAAACTGGAAAGAGCAGTTAGGAGAAGAAACAGTCCCCTTATCAGGTTCTCCAGTCCTCAAGCCAAGTCTTCCCAGCCAGTGACAGTTTCATTTTGTTACCACTGACCAACTCTAGTTTGGGACCTAAAGCACTTGGGGTCAACTCTGGAGATAACCCTAAGTGTGGTAAGGCTCCCTAATTATAAACACTACAAAGGGGACATACTGAATGAACACCACCAGCCAGCTCATGTGCTATTTTTTAAAGATCTTTTGTTTGTTTATTTGTTTGAAGATCTAATTTTCGAGATACCCAAGAAACTTGGCTCCCACTCTACAGCCTTTGTGCTGGCCTGGACCTTATTCTCTCCTCAGAGCAGCAAGCAATGCAGAGGCACCTTTGGGCCCAACTTTCCCCAGCCTCACTGAGCAAGATCATTTTAAGGCCATTTGACAAAATTCTCACAGCCTTGAATAACAGCATTATCTGGCAGCCTTTTCAGCTACAGACCAGCTGTCTGAACATGAATACCTTTGACAGGTCTACTTTCCAAGTTCACCCAGAGACCAAAGGCTTAGAGTCTTTTTTTTCCCCGTCCAAACATCTTGAACTGAACCATATCTGCTGGATTGAAGCATTCTGTCTATCTTTCTTTAGGGAGATGAAGTCATGGTTTGCAGAATTAGACTCCTAACAGCTAACAGGTGATGTGTGGAGGCTGCGCCAAACTCTAAACACAAGCCTTGCAAAGCAGAGAGTTGGGGGCTTCTACAGAGCAGTTTGAAGCATCTCCTCTAACAGAAGAAATACTGAGAACAACAACCAGAAATCAAAGAAAAGCCAATATTCACATAATCCCAAGGAGAAAACAGATATTTGCTACAAAGCCAACAGCATGACAAGGAATCTGTTTATTGTCATTTCTTCCCAGTCACCAGGCTTCCATCAGCAGTTCGCTGAGTTCAGAACTGTTTTACTCCATCCCTGAAGGCCTTAACTCATCAACCCCAATCGGAGAGTGCTGCTTAGGGTTTCCTGCACCCTGACTGCACCAGTTTTCTCCAACTCCCTCCATGGCCCAGAGTCCACTGGCTTACATCCCACCTTTTCAGGAGATGAATGGCAGAGTCTGAAGCCTGCTGAGCCATCGACCCAGAGCTCCAGGGCCTCACTTGTGGCCACAGCAAAGCTCTCCAGATCTGCCTGTCCCAGGAGCCTCAAAAGGAACCAGGGATTCCACAGAGAAAATAAAACCTACAGCAGTAATTGAAGGTGGTGTTTTCTGTGCAGAGTATAAGGTATTTTATAAGAATGAGTCATTTTGTTGCTTTTCTGTAGATGTTCCAAATCTGACACAAACTTGTCCTGCTGTTAAGCCCAAGTCACAGGCCCCTCATAAGGGCCAGGAGTTTAAAGGTCCAGGTGGCAGCATCTGTCCAGTCTATCACCTTCCCCACAAATTCTCCCAATAAGACAGAAACACAGCTTCATTGGGGAGTTTCTAAAGTCAGCTAATTGTTTTTCATACTTCAAAGTAAAAAAAAAAAAAAATTGCATTATACACATTAACGAAGAGATATTATGATTCTTGCCAAACATTACCTTCATCTAACCCACCAACAGAGCCCCGTGCATGAATACCTTCCCCTTCCGGAAAGCCTTCGTCTACCTTCCCAAATCTCAAGAGCCTCTGTGTCAGCCACCTCCTCAGTCTGTCTTTGGTGGAGGGCAGGAGCCACCAGCACAC